TTCCTTGACACACGATCACAGTCCTGACTGTTTCCCTGACACATCATAGCAGTCCTGACTATTTCCCTGACACACAATCACAGTCCTGACTGTTTCCCTGACCCATAATCACAGTCCTGACTGTTTCTCTGACCCATAATCACAGTTCACTCTATATGACACACAATCACAGTCCTGACTATTTCCCTGACACACAATCACAGTCCTGACTGTTTCCCTGACACACAATCACAGTCCTGACTTTTTCCCTGACCCATAATCACAGTTCTCTCTATATGACACACAATCACAGTCCTGACTATTTCCCTGACACACAATCACAGTCCTGACTGGTTCCCTGACCCATAATCACAGTCCTGACTGTTTCCCTGACACACAATCACAGTCCTGGCTGTCCCTGACACACAATCACAGTCCTGACTGTTTCCCTGACACAGAATCACAGTCCTGACTGTTTCCCTGACACACGATCACAGTCCGGACGGTTTCCCTGACACAAAATCACAGTCACGACTTTTTCCCTGACCCATAATCACAGTTCTCTCTATATGACACACAATCACAGTCCTGACTGTTTCCCTGACACACAATCACAGTCCTGACTGTTTCCCTGACACACAATCACAGTCCTGACTGTTTCTCTGACCCATAATCACTGTTCTCTCTATATGACAAACGACCACAGTCCTGACGGTTTCCATGACACACAATCACAGTCCTGACTGTTTCCCTGTCGCACAATCACAGTCCTGACTGTTTCCCTGACACACAATCACAGTCCTGACTGTTTCCCTGACACACCATAACAGTCCTTACTGTTTCCCTGACACACGATCACAGTCCTGTCTGTTTCCCTGACACACAATCACAGTCCTGACTTTTTCCCTGACCCATAATCACAGTCCTGACTGTTTCCCTGACACACAATCACAGTCCTGACTGTTTCCCTGACACACAATCACAGTCCTGACTGTTTTCCTGACACACGATCACAGTCCGGACGGTTTTCCTGACACAAAATCACAGTCATGACTTTTTCCATGACCCATAATCACAGTTCTCTCTATATGACACACAATCACAGTCCTGCCTGTTTCCCTGACACACAATCACAGTCCTGGCTGTTTCCCTGACACACAATCACAGTCCTGACTGTTTCCCTGACCCATAATCACAGTTCTCTCTATATGACACACGATCACAGTCCTGACTGTTTCCCTGACACACAATCACAGTCCTGACTGTTTTCCTGACCCATAATCACAGTTCTCTCTATATGACACACAATCACAGTCCTGACTGTTTCCCTGACCCATAATCACAGTTCTCTCTATATGACACACGATCACAGTCCTGACTGTTTCCCTGACACACAATCACAGTCCTGACTGTTTCCCTGACACACAATCACAGTCCTGACTGTTTCCTGACACACAATCACAGTCCTGACTATTTCCCTGTCGCAGAATCACATTCCTGACTGTTTCCCTGACACACAATCACAGTCTTGACTGTTTCCCTGACCCATAATCACAGTCCTGACTGTTTCCCTGACACACGATCACAGTCCTGGCTGTCCCTGACACACAATCACAGTCCTGACTGTTTCCCTGACACACAATCACAGTCCTGACTGTTTCCCTGACACACGATCACAGTCCTGTCTGTTTCCCTGACACACAATCACAGTCCTGACTGTTTCCCTGACCCATAATCACAGTTCTCTCTATATGACACACAATCACAGTCCTGACTGTTTCCCTGACCCATAATCACAGTTCTCTCTATATGACACACGATCACAGTCCTGACTGTTTCCCTGACACACAATCACAGTCCTGACTGTTTCCCTGACACACAATCACAGTCCTGACTGTTTCCTTGACACACAATCACAGTCCTGACTGTTTCCCTGACACACAATCACAGTCCTGACTATTTCCCTGTCGCAGAATCACATTTCTGACTGTTTCCCTGACACACAATCACAGTCTTGACTGTTTCCCTGACACACAATCACAGTCCTGACTGTTTCCCTGACACACAATCACAGTCCTGACTGTTTCCCTGACACACAATCACAGTCCTGACTGTTTCCCTGACACACAATCACAGTCCTGACTGTTTCCCTGACCCATAATCACAGTTCTCTCTATATGACACACAATCACAGTCCTGACTGTTTCCCTGACACACAATCACAGTCCTGACTGTTTCCCTGACCCATAATCACAGTCTTGACTGTTTCCCTGACACACGATCACAGTCCTGGCTGTCCCTGACACACAATCACAGTCCTGACTGTTTCCCTGACACACAATCACAGTCCTGACTGTTTCCCTGACACACAATCACAGTCCTGACGGTTTCCGTGACACACCATAACAGTCCTGACTATTTCCTTGACACACAATCACAGTCCTGACTGTTTCCCTGACCCATAATCACAGTTCTCTCTATAGAACACACGATCACAGTCCTGACTGTTTCCCTGACACACAATCACAGTCCTGACTGTTTACGTGCGTTGATTTGTATGTCGATGTTGGTGCTGCTCCATGTGTAACAACTAGACCATCAACGTATGTTTCACCTTTAACTACAGTGTATGCTAGACTGATGAGCAATTGTTCCAGTCCTTCTTGGTCACTTTCTTCTATCAGCAAATAGCACAGATACTGTATTGACCTATCAGAGTATATATATATAAAAGACGCCACTGTATCTCGGCCCATACGTTGCCTGCCAGGAAGCGGCCATCTGCCACACCTTGGCTTAATCGCCCACACTGACCAGTCCACATAACAAACACCACAGCAGTAGACCTGACCACGGGCCGCTTAGCTAAGTTTGGTAGCAGTACTTAATGAGTGTGCAGATGAAATTAATTATCTATATCTAAAATCCTCCACTAGACCTAATATACGGATTCATCAGGCAACCTTTACCGTGGCACGACATATAGCGCTGAGCTGAGCACGTCCTCTTGTTGGTGGTAATACTTGTGCTGTCCCAATGAGTTTCCATTTGTGGATTAGTTCAAGAATAATGTATAAGTATAAGCATAAGTATACGTATACATTTTACCATCTTCCTGAGGCAAGAGAGTTAACTGACTTTAAAAGTCCAGTTCCCCCCTTGCCGAACTAGGCTGGAATTCCTGGGCTCGATCGTAGCGCCACCAGTGGCTGTTACGAGTTATGTCCCTTCTATGCCTCTCCTATGGACCAATCAAATTCCACCTCTCGTATCACTTGCATTTGTTTCAAACAAAATGGTGGCGCCCAGACAAGACGATCTGATCGACAATCAACATCGATATTGTGATAAAATGGGTCTTACATCGCGAAGTGCATCAAATCATGTGAGCACCTTGATTAAAAACTTGAAAAGATTTGGAAAATATCTGTTGACAACGAGTTGGCAGTGCACATGTTTTGCAAATCCTGCAATCGACCGAACTCTGCATGACAGTTAACGAACCGGATTTTGATTGGACTATGCATAGACTCGTTAGTCCAGCCAAAATCTAACTCCATAATACCAGCCTAGTTCGGCAAGGGTGGAAACTGGACTTTTATAGTCAGTTAACTCTCTTGCCTCGGGAAGATGACATATCACGAGAGTGTACTATACATCATATATGTTCAAAGGTCAGTAGCTATTTCATTGCACATTCAAGTAGGCCTATATATACGGCCTTGCACCTTGTGTGGAACTGAAACAACCTGTCTTGTTTGCGTATTCATTAATTGTTAATTCGGCATATACGTCATTACATTTTAATTAAAATACAAAACATTTGCGGTGTTTAAAAAAACTTTCACCAAAAATGCTGGGAGTGCCATTTTCTTCCGAGCCAAGGCCTCCTTTAACTAACTTAATTCTGTTTGTATGTGCCTTGGCGAACAGAAGACGGTCAGTTGATATTATTCACGTCCTATATCGAATATTATATGAAATAATTCATCAAATCTGAAACACAAAAACAAAATGATACATGTACTGTATATATGTAGATCTACTGCGGGTCTATAACTACGGTTCAGTAAATATGCCCAGCGGCCAGGTTAAAACTTTTTGTGCAGACGGAGGGCTATTTATAAGCCCGGGCAAGGAACTTACACAGGTAATTTGTCTTCCATGTTCATGTAGTATATGCTATAAAAAATACGTGGAGAATCCGAAGTAGCAACAGGTTCTAATATAAAATCTCTACTTATTGTTACAAAAGTATAAACACGAAAACGCACAAGAAGTGCAATGTTTAGGGAAAATCGAACCATGATACCACCTCGCGATCGATTGACGTCATCGCCAGTGCCAAAGAATTGTACGGAAGCCTGTTTGAGGCAGTATTTTTGAAAACGTGTAAAGGTTATATAGAGCGAACGTTGACATAACATAACGCACTTTTTAATAAGTATTTATTTGCGAACAATTACCCAATCTTAAAAAAAGGATCCCCAAAATTGTCCTGTCAAAGGAATATTCAAGGATGATGTATAATGTAAGGATATGTTAAACTATATTCGACTGATGATATTTTACGTTCACAAATGCAGTTTCTTCTTTGTATCTTTACATACTGACATTGTGATTCACTAATTTCACTCAATTGCGCCACCTTGTAATAATCTAAGAGAAGTACGCGTACAAAATCCGATAGAGAAAGAAATTTACCGAACGAAATATCGCATCTCTTGGTGCCCAGGCTGTAATCACTGAATGATTGGACTTTTTCTATTCAACGTCACCAGAACTTGTTATTATTAGATTGATTTTTTTCACGTCACATGAGTTATGAGACACGTAAAATGCTGTTGAATTACCCGATTAAGAAATAACGAAATAATTAAGAGGCGACAGGACATGTAGTTTCATGTAGAACTTATTTTGGCATATTCTTTTTCAAGAGTTTTGATTTGTAAAACTATTTCTGAACGTCGAGAATTATATCCGGAGCAGAACACCATACATAGACTTGAGCGAGAGAGAGGTTGAACCGCGCGGTGGAAGTTAGCCTTTTGACTTCGTAGGCCAGGCAGAGCCAGTCAATGGGAAATAATTATTAAGCTTATACAGTCGAGTAGTTTCTAGTTGCCATGCACCTAAGACGGACTATATATTCTGTTTATGGGTTACTGAAAAGGATTTCTCGTGTGTGGTGGTGCTTATTCGATGGCTGCCAGCAGACGAAAAGTTTCTTGAATCATGAATGTTGAATGGCCGTGTTACAGGCAGAATCATGGCGAAGTTCGGTGTTTTATCTTAATTCGTAAGTTTATACAGGTAAGAATTGCAATTCTATGTAAAGTTACCGTAGGCTTTTAAAACGATTGTTGCATGCAGATGCAATTTATTTGTCGTTTAGGCCCAGTAGGCCAAAATTGTTTACGGAAATTTGCCAAGATATTGGCGATGCGCTAGGCCTGGCCTAACGCAGCATCTTCGTTTTGAGCTGACAGTTTGCAGTTGTCAGAACTAGCCTAGCTGCCTATCCAGTTTCGTCGACGCTACCTTTTGACTTTCAATCATTCTCGGGTTCAGGATTTTCACCATACACGATCAGGGTGTATGTGCTTGTCTGTATCAAGTAACAGTACAACATTACTGTCCGTTCAAACGTAAAGAACGTGACCACAGTACCACATCTTTCGTTTTGGCATGCCAAAATGCATGGTTGGATCGACTAAGACTCTGAAGCTTCATGGTGACTAGCCTGTTGATTCCACGAGGTCGATATTTCTATGTTGGACGTGAACCATGCTTTTTTTTGTTGAAGCATTTAAAAAAAATATCTGTTCTAAGCCTATTGCGTAGATCTATACTCTATCCTATATGTGGTAAATGATCACCAGGATCTATATCCATTTCAATGGTATGAATTTGTTTATACAATTTACAACTCAATGATGTCAATCTTTGTTATTTGTCTAAAACTAGCAATCAGTGCGAATGTTTGGGGCAGATATGTAAAACATAGGAAACAGGGGGTGATCAGTCATATAGATCTGTAGCCTGGATATGGACTGATTTTTCAACCATGAGAGTTTTAAAGAAGTGTTCTTTCTCCAAATGTTTGTTCATAACCCCTTCCACAACACCAATGTTTGTTTTATAATGAGACAAGATTTGTAAACATCAGACTAAATTTATTGCAATTATTTTGACAACATGACTAAATTAGTAATGAACTTATTCACTCCAGCATCAGGTGTTACCCCACAATAGGTCTTAAAGAGTTGCATACAAATGGCCAATATCACATTTTTTTTACTGGAGCCCTGAGAAAGACTATTTAGATAAACCTATGAAACAATCTGATCATTCATACAATGAAGTTGACTGAAGCTTTATCTTTATTCATATATATATATATATATATATATATATATATATATATATACAGTATATATATATATATATCATATAATGGGCAGGTTTCTCGGCAGGATAAAGCCAACGGATAAAAACGATATCCGTTGGGGTCATATGCGGATAGAGATGCAAATATCAAAGGTCAAGTAGGACTACTTTCACTGTTTTGAACAAACATGGCGTCGTCCTCTCATTCGGCGATCGAGTCAAAATTAACCATCGGGAATCTGGATAAACAACAGGGATAATTGCTATCATTATCAAAAGAACAGTCTAATATACTGAAAATCAGTGTCTAACTGTGACGTAGCTAAGGCATTTTATAAGTTTTGGCTACTTTGGAGGTATAAATTTCAAAACAATTTTGCGAGGACGCGAGGCCTAGCCAAGCGGGATCAGTAGCAATATCTGTGCTTGTAGACCTCTGCGACTTGAAACCTTCTCCACAAATTAAAATAGTTGGATTTGGCCGAAATATGTTTGAATTGTTACCTTGTTTGGTTTTGTCTCTGTGTGTACATCTGACTGTTATGACAGGACAGACCGACTGTCAACAATGTCTGACCGTGCCTGTGACGTCTCATAGACTAGGGTTAGAGTAGCTTCCCTTTGACAAAGGGCAGTTACTCTAGCGGACAGACCGATGGATTGCCGCGAAAGGCAATTAAAAACAACTGTTGTTTTGCGTATATGTTGCTTCGCCACTGTATAAGAAACAGATTTCAGTTGGAACTATATTGGCTACTGTCACTGTCCGACTGACACATCACTTACCCTGTGACGTAATAAATATTAATGCGCGCATTCCAGGAAAACTCGCAATGTTTCGGTAATGTTTGAGAGACAGGGATAGCGATTTTAAAGCACAGAATTAAAGCATGACATTATATGATAAAGAGGTTATCACGCTTGGTTGTTTGGGGATGGTAAATATCCTGTATTAGGAATAAACACTATGTATTTAGCTCGCCAAGGCTCGCTAAATACAATGTTTATTCCTAATGCAGGATATTTACCATCCCCAAACACACTCGCGTGATAACCTCTCTCTCTCTCTCTCTCTCTCTCTCTCTCTCTCTCTCTCTCTATATATATATATATATATAGTTGACTGAAGCTTTATCTTGATTCATATATATGAAGAGCTGTCATTCATGAGACAGTGGAAGTACTATGTCTGAAACTGATATAAAGAATATAAAGACTAATATATATATATATATGAGAGAGATACAGATAGATATGAATAATATATATAGATACATAGATAGAGATAGATAGATAAAATACAAAAGTACAAAGATGAGGTGTAAAATTTACAGGTTACACGAATTCATGTGATTTTCAAGAGAGTATGTATTTTCACAAGTCAGAACGAATGAATGCATAGTCAGAAAGTAATGTGAACACTAGCGATTTGTAGTGTAACCATGAAGTTTTATCACGTGACTCACCAATGGTCAGCAGCGTTAGAAATTGGCACTAGTCCTGTAGTCCTTACCAAACTACCCAATAGTAAAGGTATCCTAAGGACTACTAGACATTGGCCCATTTTAAGGGTTTTGCTATATGTTATCATTATAAGGACTAGTGGACAAAAACTGTTAGTTTCTAACCCTGGGTCAGGGTAGTCCTGTCGGTACCCAGGTCCTATTCAGGACCCACCTGTTGTGAGTACCCTTCCCAAGTTACCCATCCCAGATGTCTATATGTATGTATTTTCTGAGAATGTTTCTGTAAAAAAATTGTACGAATTAAGCATGAACAGCTAGCAGTCATAGACATTAGCTTAATGTTAAAAGATTATGGGGACCAATTCAGGCGCCTTAGGAGCAATCATTCCAATGTAACAAAGAAATTTAAACTGCTAAAATATGGTAATGTGTTTAACTGTACAATTTTATAGTTTTACTTATGATTCACCACCTGAAGAGTATCATGATATCAACATGACTTTCATAGCTTTACATTTGTAAAGAAAATCTCAGTGTGAATATCCGGTACCGTTTGTAAGTTAGAGTGATCTCAATGGATAATAATAAGGAGCGGGTACTTTTTTCATAATCCTGATGTTATTAAGAAATAAGGTGGTTGATAAATGGATACCATCGCAGTAAACATATAAGTACCCAAGGACCCACTTGATTTTGAATATTGTGAAACAGCCTGTCTCCCCACATTTTATTAGCCCCAGTATCTTTTGGTAATATTATAAAATGGCTTTAGTCAATAATTAAATACATAGCTAAAGTATCTGGCTTAGCAATGTGTGTGTGTGTTTGTCTATATTGTATATGTACAGCAACTTCTTGCATTACCTAACTCTATTGTAAAGATCTCTTGTAATGAAACTTTTCTTGGATGTTTTAGTGTAGAAGTGGGAAAACAGGCCATACCAGCAACTACCTTCATATCAGTAGGTAACCGTTGGTCAGGTTTACTTCTTTGGTTCAGCTATATATCTGTGGAAGTCTTTAGGCATACTTTAAAATTAGACACATTCATACATCACTGCTTTAATGGTTGACTAAAATACATGTATCATCAAAGCTACTACATGTACCCAATGCAGTAGTGATGGATGGTGGGCATGCCTGCTTACATAGATTGTTAATAGATAAACATTCAACAGAAAAATGTTATTCCTTCCTCTGAAACTTAACAAAAACTATAAATCCTATAAACTCTGTTTAACAGAATATTTATTTTGTAGGCTTGACATCTTTTCTTCTTTCCTGTCGGGTCACTGATGTACATCATGATACAGAGACTTAAAAGACATGTACCACAATATACTTCTACAGCTGATAGTTTGAACTTTTTATGTTATCAGAGCTAAGATTGATTCTAATTATTGTGATCACTTTGTAGGAACCTTTTTTCTACATAAAGTTCATGATCAGTGATGTTGACCTAAAGCCTACAGATTGAGGTGAATACATATGGTGAATAGGGCTGGGATACTTGTATCGAGAAGTAAAACATCACTATCCACTGATGTATCGGTGTATCGTCCCACCACTAATGGTGAAATGATCCAAAACTTGTGAAACAATGCTTCAGGTATCAGAAATACAGTTAAACCTTCTATCCTGTGCAATAACTGTATTTGATAAAGATCACTCCTTAATAATGCTTCTTTCATCTTGATTTATTTTAATCCAGATGATTGCACTTGTTAAAATACAACTCCAGATCAAAGAGTTTTCACCGTTTAGGACCACAGAAGTGTTAATTGTTAGTTGTTAGTAATATTAAAGTTAATTACAATTTTAAGGAGTCAAAGAAATCAATGTTTGAAATGAGGCATGATTGTCTATGAATTCTTTCAAAACATTAAAGGTTTCAAACTTTGTAAATCAACTACATGGATAATTGATGTCTTGGCTCTAAATTAGAGTTAATTTGTTGTTGTTGGTGCAGTGTCACATTCATTTCACCAACACATACACTCTGTGACTTTAGGCACTACTCCAAAGAGCAAATCAAGTAAGATTCTGGTTGGTCTAGTAAGCACAGCTAATAAATATTACATATATTAAAACTATTTTCTGAAAATGATAATGATAAAATTCATGCCACTAAAAATGATTACCGGTAATTTTTTGAATAATTCTGATCAAAATTTCCTGGACCTTGATTGTTCAATAAAACAGATTCCATTTGTTGTTCTACGTCGGTGCCAAATAGGGCATTCACATTTTACGCATGCTTTCCTTTTAAAGGGAGAAAATGCTCACGTGTGCATTCCTTGTCAGTGTCAAGTTACCATAGAACACATACTTTTAGACTGTGGACACAGCTTTAATCCATCATAAATATTTTAATGTTTCTACTATGAAAGCACTTTTTACTTAAGTCATAACCATAAGATTTTAACATTCTTGAAATAAATTTGTCTTTATGACAAA